ATGCTACGCAATATTTCAATTATGTATATACGTTTCAAGTATGAAGTTTATTTCGTTGCAATAATCTGCATAGTATACTACCTACTGCTTACTGTACATGAATTACAACCCACGACGCAGTATTTTAATACTACATAATTACGATACTACAAAAAAATTGTTGCAAAAGTAAAAACACTGCGCTTTACATTTTGGCTCGCATTGCTGCTAGCAATGATAAGAAATATGAAGCAGCTTTTTTAATGAGAAATTGCTTCACTACAATCGGTCGTAATTAATTACCTCAATACAGCAACACCACTAATCAGGGAAATCCAACGAGGCTACCCATATTTCAGGTGTATGTAGTTTTCGTCAACCATTTCCGGGCCCTCATCTTGCAAACTTACTTTTAAGTGTGTATTACTAATTAGAAAAAAGATCCGATATAATTAAGACTAATTAAAATTTCGATGTAGTGAGATTAAAACTAATTTATATAAAATTTTCTCGTTACATATAGAGAATTTTTAAAATTTTTATTAATGGAATTGGTCAATCCACTATAACGAGAATAATTTGTGTTTAACGGGCTTAATTTAATTGATCCCAGGGTAATTGCCTAGTTAAATAAACACACACGAATCATATTGTAAATGACGGAGAGTTCCGTTTTAATTAAGATAATTTTTTTAAACAGTCGGAAATTTGTTCTTTATACAATGTAATATAACATGTTAAGTTACTGGGAAAATGGAATCCATTGAGTTCCGGAGTACCACTTCGTCGTTTGCGAACCAAATTTCAATGTTAAAACTTGTAAATATTTAAATGTTAAATTTAAACGTCATATATTGTACCACTAAATAATATTACATCTCCCAGAAACCCGCATGGAATCTAACTGAAAAATATTGTTTACTTATCGCTATTGTCTGAACTTAAATTCATCCGTTCTGCTCCGGAAATTAAAAATGATTACATCCGTTTGTGGTTTCCAAATTCCGGTGTAATTACGTACACCACTCGGAAATTTTTGTACTAAATTTCCGTTCCTAGTTTTGTACGACAATGTCGTGCAGCTCCTTACTAAAAATTTTGTGAAAAAAAAATCCAATGGATGTTAAGCCTCAAAATAATAAGTCAAGTTACCTACAAAAACTTTAATCACAATGGTAAAAGTCAATTTTTAATATTTAACATTAGTTTCAATCCAAGTTTATTAAAACAATTTTAGCATTACTGCATTATAGACGAATAGAGATTTGATAGTTACACCTTTTCTTTAAAAAGGACGCAAGCCAATCTGTGAAACATATAATAATTTAACAAGGATCTGTAGCTGTGGATACACAATTTTAATTTTAAACGGACATGAAAGACAAAGTTTAAAAATTTTGTTATTTATTGACTATTTTTATATATAAATATATACATTCTTTTTTTTTATTTTGGAGTTATTGGTATAACATACAATTTAACATTATTATTATTATTATTATTATTTATAATGTCGGAAAACAATTCTGCTAAAGATGAAAAAGAAACCGAAATAAATACAAGTCTTAAAGATACACTTTCTGCCATTAAAACTACAGCAGAAGTAATGAGTTGTTACATTCCAGTAATCAATTCAATAACAATTTTATTTCAAAAAATTTATCAAGTTTATGAAGATTCAGAATGTAATAAAGAAATTTGTTTAATAATGGTAGAACGAGTTAAAGCAGCAGAATATTCATTGGATAAAATGATGAGAAGAAAAGAAGAGAATGAAAAATATTTTTGTAAACAAGATTATTTTTTTGCTTTTAAAAGATTTGAAATTAATTTAAAAAATATTAAAGATTTTACGATTAAAGTTTCAAAGCTTAAAGGTTATAGAAAGTTTTTTAGTGCAACAAACGTTAAATTTCAATATGATAATTTAACTAAAGAATATGATGCTTGTATGAATGATTTACATTTTGCTATCACGGTTGCTAGTAAAGAAGAAAGGGATGCAGAATCACGAAAAGTTGATCAATCTCTAAAGGATATTGAAGATGTACGTACAATTATGATAATTAATTATTAGTCTACTAATAATAAATTTATTTATTTATTAAAGTCTTTTTTTATTCATTTTAGACTCTTGAAAAACTTGAAGGTGACATTGAAAATGCCGCTAATAAAATAGATAAACTTGAAGGCGGTATTGAAAATGCTACCAATAAAATCGAGAAACTTGAAAATGGTATTGGAAGTAAAATGGATATGGTAGTTCAAGAAATTTCCATCATAAAATCACAAATTGATAAACAGCAATCAAACGATATCAGTGTACCAAAGATTGATTCAAAAGATCTAATTAATCCTCCTTATCCTGAAAGCACTGACGTCCGTGGTTCACATCGTCCTCTTCATAAGAAATTTTATAAAGGTTTTGAAGTCGCATGTAAACCTATTGAAGATTCTAAAAGACGTCAAGGTGAATTAACAATCCTTGGAAAATTAAGTTTATCACCAAATATTCTCCGCTTTTATGGTCTTTCATACATTGACAGTCGTGAAGTTATGGTATCTGAATGGGCTGAACATAGAAGCTTAAAAGATCTTTATGATAATTATGATATCGCTTGGACTAGGAAAATACTAATGATTCGTGATATTTGTCGTGCCATTTTATTCTTGCGTGAAGTAAACATTTTTCATCATGATATTAGATGCGAAAATGTTTTGGTATGTATAATTAAATTATGTTATATTACTTATTAAATTTAAGAATCAACCAAAGTGATTAAGCGCATCAAAATTATAGGTAACAAGAAGTTTGGATCCAAAACTTGGAAATTTCAAATATGCCCGTGAGACTAATGCAGATACTACTAGTAATCTTTCTGATCAATTAATAAATGTTATTCGTTGGATGGCACCCGAACAAATAGAGAAATATCAGGATCAGAATAGTGGAAAGAGTAAAAAATCCGAAAAACGGTATACTTTTAATTGTGAAATGTTCAGGTACATGTAATATCTTTTGAATTTTTCGAACTTTTTGAATTATATTTAATCTTTAGTTTGTTAATTCATTATCTTTTGTAATTAGCTTCGGAATGCTTATTTGGGAACTTTGTTATGAAAAGATTCCGTATGAAAATTTAACCTTTAAAGATATACCAAATTATGTTTTAAGTGGTAAACGTGAAAAACTTTTATTCGGAAAATTTACTAATCTTAACGACGAAATAATTCAAAGAGAGTTTATTAAAATTATTGATAATGGTAATTTATTAATTTGATTTATTTTTTAAATGCTTTATTGTTTGTACCAATTTTTATTACATAAACTAATTATAATATTTTATTATCGTTTAAATTATTTATAACCATTTACACTAATTTTAATGAATAGCATGGCTACATGTACCACATCAACGAATAAGCATTACAAAATTGTTTGAAATACTCGAAGGATTAGCAATAAATTATCCAATCCCTATTACTTCGAGTTCACCTTCTGGACTTTTACCAGATAAATCATTAGACTTCGATGGGACTATTACTACAAAGGCTAAAAATTCAATGTTGCCAAAATTCCGCGATGAATTTTCAATTAATGATGAAGATATTGATATTATTGATCCTGTAAAGTCACTTGAAGAAGGAATTAAACTTCATCGAAATAGAACTTTTGAAGATGCTTGGAAATGTTTTGATGAAAATGCTAAACTCGGTGATCCTTTAGCGAAATATTGGAAAGGTTATTATTTATACGAAGGTTATTTTGTTGAACAAAATAAAGATCAGGCAAATATACTTTTTAAAGAAGCTGCTGATAATGATATTCCTGATGCACAATATCGATATGCTGTTTCTTTGTATCCTGGGATTAAAAATGAAACAACACGTAGAGAATTTTTACATTATTTAAAATTAGCTGCTGATAACAAACATCCTGATGCAATGCGGAATTTGGGTGATATTTATGTTAAAGGAAAACTTAAAGTTGTTCAAAACAAAGAGCTTGGTTTGAAGTATTTGAAACTTGCAGCTCGGGAAAATGATCATCAAGCAATTGAACTACTGAATAAGTTGAAAGAACCACTTTAAATATTTTGAAATTATATATCATATACTGTATATTCTATTGAATGATTGTTAAATTTTATAATAAATTAAATAATGATATCATTTAAAAAAAAAAAAATAAAAAAATTCTTGACGGTAAATTGTTTCATATATATATGTCAGATGCCGTTAAAATTGAAATGTAAAGTCCGTCAAATTATTTTAAATTTGACGACTTTTTTGTTTTTGTTTCATATGCTTAATAACTTATATTTATCTCGCTTTAAAACTTTGAAGTGACTAGATTAATAATCCAAAAATGAAAAATATAAATTGCTTAAAATTTAACAAAAAATTTTTTTAAATATTGGTAGGAAATTCTAATATCTTTAAATTGAATCAGGTACTTGTGAAGAGTTAGATTTATGTTCTGATAATACTGTAATAGAAATAATGATTTTGGTGCTTGGATCCGGATGCATCCGGATATAAAAAGGATAACGGATATTACATATTTTTGAAAAGCGGATAATAAATCCGGATTTTTATTTTAGTTTTACAAATCCGATTTTTTATCTGGATATTATATGACAATAGATATCAGCCAATCGGAGAACTTCAACGTGGCTTTGATCACGATTAGAGATGTGCGAATGCAAGTTTTTTTGGCTTTGCATCACATAATGCAGCACGAAAAGCATTCGCATTACATGACATTTTTTGCTTATTTGGACTATGCCGGCGAATAATTTAGGCCGGAGGTGATTTTTATTGAAATAGCAGAAATGTGCTAGAGAAGCAAGTAACTGACCGAGTTGGCCAGAACGGCAAAGACATCCCGCGAAAAATCGTAATTGCACTGGGAGTCGCCGTAGGATTATTGTAGCCGGTGGGGCCATTCCCCGCCTGCCGAAGCAAGCTGGCTGTGAGTGAAGAATGCAAGCAAGTGAGTAAATAATAGAATCACGTGTCTTCCAAAGTTTATGATTCTATCATTTGTTCACGTTTTTTTTTAACCTGTGATGCTGAGGCCGTTTATGCTCTTATGCCTTTTTTTTTCATATGACATGAAGACCGAACGTCTTCCAAAGATGTTGATTTGTTTAGCGAGGTCTGATTGTTATATGCCTATGATGATATGGTGCCTTTGCATTTTGATTGAATGTGAATAACATGACTATTGTGGTTATTATTATTAATGCGAATTTTCAATTTATCTACAAGTGTTTAACTTTAGCTGTGATTTCTGCGATCATTTTAATCATTATGACGTTAAGTGTCTGATACCGCTATTGTGTTCTATAATTCAGATTGATTGATTGTCTTTGTGATAGCTTTATGTTGTTAACTTTAATTGCAAATAATTTGTTACTGTCACAATTTGCTCTACTATCCCGTAGTTTGTAATTAAATGCTTATACGCCTTTTGTTTTTTTTGATAGATTTATTTATTTATTTATTTACAGCTCCGTGCCTATATTCGTTGATAAGATTTTGTAACTATCTTGACCTTTTAGTGTGTAATGTGGTTGGATGACTCTGGATTGTCTGTCCTTTATTCCTTTTTTATTATACTGTTTTTCTAACTGTCCAGTGGTTGGTGTTCTGATATCGCCATTTGGTTTTTTTTATTGGTAGCTTAGTTGCTATTGTATATCGATAGTGCTTAGAATATGTGGTCATTCAATATGCCTAGCTTAAAGTAATCTGCTTGTACTTTATTCTGATGATGATCGCGTTTCAAAGTTTGAATAGTGCTTGTTAATTAGAATATACTTGCATGTTCTGCTGTGATTTAAGTAACAGTTTCCTAAAGAGTGCTGTGAGTACTCTAATCTGATTAGTATGTTGTCAGGATTGTTCATGCTCAGGTTTGTTTCAACTGCCGCAGTTGGTTTTACATGTGCTTTTTTTTAAAAAAAATTAGTTTAAACTGTCTATAATTCTTAGATATTGCCTAATTAGTGTATTATGGCAATATTTTATTCCATCCCATGTGTCTCATTATCCGTAATCGGTACTGCTCACTTCACCGAAAGTTCACTTAGCCGACATCACATAGGGTTAGGATTAGTGTTTTATTAGTTGCAGGCATATATTTTTAG